TTACTTCTGCAAAACTAAGTCAAGAGACTTTTATAAACTGTGGATGACTTTTAACTTTCTCAACAAGGTTAAATCCTCCAGGTTTAAGATTCTGTGTTGAACAGAGACAAAAACCGTTCTGAGAGGAGGTATTGATCAGTAGTCATGTGGTATATAATACATGTTTGTACAAATCTAATCACAGATGATGAAGAACAACACATTTCTGTTTGACGGTAGAGATTACGCACACTGAAAGAATGACCTTATACTATGTACTTAACCTCTTTTACAGACTTCTGGAAACCACTTGTGTTCAATAATATGCCCCGGATAGGTGAAGGCCTGCCTCATATGGAGCAACTTTTTAATTTCAAAGGGAGTGACACATCCTCTGCAATTTTTGAAGATTTTTTTTTTTTTTGAAGAAATTTTTTCTGTGTTTGAAGAAAACTTTTAGTCTCGACTAATTTCTTCTCACAAACTAATGTTTTATTTGTCCTGTTTCTATATATTTATGTAATTTTTAATAAATGACTTAATATTTATATTTGATATAATACTGTGTTGTTACTATTATGTAATTGTATTATATATATAATACAAACCCAATTCCAAAAAAGTTGGGACAGTGTACAAATTGTGAGTAAAAAAGGAATGGAATAATTTACAAATCTCATAAACTTATATTTTATTCACAATAGTATATAGATAACATATCAAATGTTGAAAGTGAGACATTTTGATATGTCATGCCAAATATTGGCTCATTTTGGATTTCATGAGAGCTACACATTCCAAAAAAGTTGGGACAGGTAGCAATAAGAGGCCGGAAAAGTTAAATGTACATATAAGGAACAGCTGGAGGACCAATTTGCAACTTATTAGGTCAATTGGCAACATGATTGGGTATAAAAATAGCCTCTCAGAGTGGCAGTGTCTCTCAGAAGTCAAGATGGGCAGAGGATCACCAATTCCCCCAATGCTGCGGCCAAAAACAGTGGAGCAATATCAGAAAGGAGTTACTCAGAGAAAAATTGCAAAGAGTTTGAAGTTATAATCATC